TAATTTATTTCACCATCTGTAAATGAAATTCTGCACACATTATCAATATTTTCACAAAGAATGTTTTATTGCATTTTCTTAAATTTTTCCTGCTATTTTTTTTTACACACTCATCTTTAGGAAGAAGTGGTGCATTTAAATGAAAGGAGAAAAAAATTCATTTCTTGCAGTGAATCATTGTGTTGTAAAAGAAAATCTACATAAGATTATATACTAGGCTACACCCCCTTCAAATGTAACTTCATTTCTGCTCAATTTTGAAAACAGAAATTTCCTGAAAGAAATAACTGAAATCACCATGTCTACTCCTATATATCCTGAACATTGCCACATTTCCAAGTGTATTGATTTATAACCCAAATGATTTTTTAAATGCACAATTTTTAAAGAGTGCTTTGAATAAATATTTTATCAACAAAGAATTCTCTACAATGTAATTGAGTATACACTCTTGTCAACTAAACACTTCCACATTTGAAAGTTCCACATAAATTTTAAATTGAAAATATTTCTTTTGATGACTGCCAATTTACAGTTGGTATAAACATTCCATGACACAATTGGGTCATGTAATTGGTATGTTCACTTTAAGAAACGTGCATTTTTATATTCCAACTCATTTACTTTGTAATTTTTACTTCTTCCCAAATAAATTAACCTAGTCAGACAATATTGTATGACAATAACATCTAAATATATTTTTCAATGTTTTAGAAGTTTGGAAATATTTTTTTAAAGCAGTTTTATAATTGTATTTAAAATATTGGAGGAATGAGGTATTTCCTAACTTCACCCCCGCCTGCTCAGCTTCCCCGCCTGCTCAGCTTTGGTTATTGGAGGGAGGGTTTGTGGGGGTGATGGTGGGAGTACCCCTTAGCCCTACAAGATTTCATTGAAGAATTTGTTCAATGATATAAAATTTAGAGGAGAATTTAGTTTTTAATATATACTTTAAAAAAACAACTGTCATTAATAATTGACATACATTTTGAAGCCACACCATACAATGATTTTTAATTTTTTTTTTGGTTATATATATTCTGTACTGTAATGAAAGTAGAGTTATAAAAACTGAAGTTCTTAGGACCTGACTGCTGCCTTCTTACACTCATTTATTTGCTGATATTGTTTCCTTCAAGTTTTGATTTTCATTTATTTGAAAACATGCCAGAAATTCTTGTTTTAATGTTATTTTAATTTGAAGAATTCTTCATCAATTGTGATAACATTTTTGTTGTTGATTTGTTGTCTTGTTAAATTTCTCTAAAATATATGATTTAAGAATACCAGCTGTCTTGAACTTGCTCATAATATTTCTACCATATTTAAAGTACCAAAATACATATTTTTTTAAGGAATGTTGAGCTTTGTTCTTTAAGGAATATCAAATATTGATAGATGTATGCAAGAAAACCATTGAATTATTTTTTAGGTTTTTTTTTTATGTGCCACACAATTATTGATGTGTTGCTGGAAATCAAGACCTGTAAAGTTTTCATGCAAAGTGGCATGAGTGTTTGTTTGGCAAAAAAATACCAAGACGCTTAAAATATAAAATTGGAAAAAAATTACTCCCCCCCCCAATTTATTACATCTGCCTAAAGTCTAGTTTGGTTTCATTTATAAATCTAATTTTGACACACTTCTACTGAACTAAATAGTTTGCATTTTCACACAGATGGGACAACAATATTCGTTCACTTTTGGCCCAAGGCTGTAACTCTTAGCACCGGTGCCTCAAGAATGTTAACGTTACCTCAAGATGTTAGCATGTCATGTTGGAACTTTTTATATTATCATTTTGGGGGTGAAGCTCCGCTCCACTCCACTATTCATGAAGCCAGGCAGCTCACGATTCAATAAGCCTATTGACCTAACCCATGGGTGACACTGGCAGTGCTTGTGGACCTTACTTTTTTGTCTAAAAAACAAAAAGCGACTAAAAACACCATTGTTTTGACTGGACAAGTAAACTAAAAGATTGAGCACATGTTCACATCAAGCTAAAACAAAATGAGAATATCATTTTTTTTAAAGTTTTTTAAAACAGACTACAAAGTATAAAATAAATACATGTCTATAAAATCATTGTTAGGTTAAATGGATTTATAGTTTCAGCCAGAGCAGAAAATAGGTCAAATACGACTAAAATTTAATTTAGGGCAGCACCTTATAAAAATTAACGTGGATTGGATAAGAATAGTGATAAGAATCGCATTGGGATATCTTGATAACATGATGTTGTTACTTACCTCACATAAAATTATACTGACTTATTGCATACAATACTGAAAAACCCCATTGGCATTATCATTTCCAAAATTTAACACTACTCTCTAATGAAATAATCTTCATTCTCCAGCAACACTGTTTCTTTTTCAGGGGCAAACCCACAATTTCATTTTGAGTCACATGTGACCAAGAAAATTTGAATTTTTATTTCTTTTGAAACAACACTTTCTGCTGCATGTTTAAAAAATTTGTTTGTATTGCTAAATCTATTTATCTATCTCTGACTAAACTTTTGAACTTGTTTGTGGTGCTAGTGTGATGAACAAATTCAAAGCATAGAAGTGCAATGCTGTAAATATAGATGTGTACTCTATGATGAAAGGGAGGAAAAGCAACAACATTTTAAATACCATTTTAAATAAAAATCCCATTATTCAACTACCACCAAAAATTGATGGCTGAATGCTGAAAAATAAAAAATGGATTTGGCTCGTTAACACGTTTGACAGGTGGCATTAAACTTTTGTATTTAAAGTATGGATATGATTAACTGTCAATGATGTCTCAGTCTACAATTTATTTATTTTTTAAAATCAGGGGCAGCACAGGATTTTGCACGTGAGGGAGTGTGTGGCCGGGGGAGGGGGGGGCGGGTGTGTGTTTCGTGGAGTATGGGAGCTGAAATTATTTCTAATGTTGATTGGTTCTTTAAAGTTCAGGCAAATATTTCTGTGGTAATTTAAATTAATTTTATTCATTTTTCTTATTATTAGTCCATTTTCCACATTGGCTTTTCCGCATGCACTGTTTATTATTCATCTAGTTAATTATTTTAAGAACAAAATAAAAATAGTTAATAAATGTATCCCTAAGTTAACAATGGAGAAATTAGATTTGGCGATTATTAAAATGTTTTATCAAATATTCGGGGGTATTTGTTTATAAAAAAAATAACTTGTAGATCTGATAACTGTGTAGCATAAGTCTGAAGTTTTGTCTGAAGTTATGTCTGCCTCGTCTGTGAAGGATGTAGAATACATAATAATCATAATGTACGTTGTCTATTGTTAGTTATCTTCATTTTGTTTGTAATGGTTCCAATTTATTGTCTATTATTGTTGTTCAAGAGTAGAATGTCTGTGCATTAATTATTGTTAAAAAATAGAGAGCTCTGACTATTATTGTTGTTAAAGAGTTCTATTATTTTTGTTAAAGAGTTTAAACTCTCAGAAAGTAACAGCTTGCAAATGAATGATTAGATTGTTTAATTAAGAGAAATGTCAAAATCCTAGATAATCAGTTGTCTGTTCCTATTTTTCTGTTACCTGTATTCCATTAGTAAATTACTCCTTATGAATCTATTGGGCTATCAGTATATTTTACTACTCAACAGTTATTAATTTAAACATATTTTTGTGTTAATTAGCTACCAGTACCGACACATGAATTCTTGTTCCATCATAAATACTTATTCTTCTCACGAGCTTTAGGATATTTTGATTTTTGCAAAATGAGGTTTTCAGTATTTTGAAATGACTCACAGATTTATTCCCTTTTCTCATAACAAAGTACTTTGCTTAAGCAGACTGGTTCAGCAGTCATGTACAAAAAAGAATCCACTCTGAGAATAAGGCCCAAATAAAAACCAAACATGATATTTATAGTACAGTTTAATTCTTATTCAAAGCAGCGGCGGATTTTTAAAAAAAAGATGACATATAGATTTTACAATGTTGCAAGTTGTTTAATGGCAAAAAAAAAGTGTATAGATTAATTGTAAGCCTTGGATCTATGATTATTTGCTTTATCCCCAGGCTTAAATTCTATAGCTTTTCTATTGATGAATTTAATTTCTTCCATCATCTTCAGTTTCTTCCTTGGATTTACATAAAATTGTTTAAAAACACATTTTAACTGGCCAGAGGCTATCTGTGTTACAATATGGAGTGATGCTTTCAAGGATTATGGTGGGCCATTGATTGGTTTTAGAACTTGTTTAACTAATTCAGTTGTAGTAATTTCATTGGTTATAAGATACAAGTAAAAATGTATATCTTTGCTTTATAAATATCCTATAGCTGGTGGTTCACTTCTATTCTCAGAGCGGGTAAACAATTAAAATAATCCTTTAAAACAGCTCTGATTGTATATGATTATTCTTTTTGCTTCATGGATTGCAGATGTAGTATCATCATCAACAATAATGCTCTGTTTAGTAGCTTGCTAAATGCTTACAGGTTTAAACCATGGGTAATATAGTATACTATTATACTTTTATGTTACTTTTTTTTTTTAACTGCTAAAATTGTTATGCAAATGCAAATTAATTCCTCAAGAGTTAGTTGGCTTATGACCAAACCAACCACCACCATCACCAAAATGTCAGATTAAGTAAAATGTGTCCTCTCCGTTTTTTGTTTTTAAATCTATAAATTTTCTTTTTTAACTTTAAACCCTCAGCTGGTGTAAGGTTGTTTAATATTTAGCTCTTCATTCCTAGTTTGTATAATTCAAAATGTTAGCTCTTCATTCCTAGTTTGTATAATTCAAAATGTTAGCTCTACATTCCTAGTTTGTATAATTCAAATTCTAAGTGGATGTGCTGTTTGTAGAACATGGTTTGGCAAAATGTTGTTTTCACCAAATTGCCTTCTTAAAGGGAATGCTAAGATTGTTGTGACAAATTCATTTAATTAAAGAATAAACTTAATGTGAGGTGATTGATAAGATATAAGAGATACAACTACCCTAATTGATAAGATATAAGAGATACAACTACCCTAATTGATAAGATATAAGAGATACAACTACCCTAATTGATAAGATATAAGAGATACAACTACCCTAATTGATAAGATATAAAGATACAACTACCCTAATTGATAAGATATAAGAGATACAACTACCCTAATTGATAAGATGTAAGAGATACAACTACCCTACTACAATGTAGTATCCATGGATTAAACATTTTTTTCTGGTTAAAAACAAAAATACTTTTTTTTTTTTACTTGACAAGTGTCTTAACATGCCTAAAACATATCATTTGACTATGTGGGTGTGCCACAGTGGGTGTGACAAGTGTCTTAACATGCCTAAAACATATCATTTGACTATGTGGGTGTGCCACAGTGGGTGTGGTTGAAATTTAAGCTTTTAGGCTATGTGATGAACATTTGACAGAACACTGTGAGATCAAGGACTGAACACTGAGATAAATGACAGAACACTGAGATAGAGGACTGAACACTGAGATAAATGACAGAACACTGTGAGATGAAGGGCTGTGCGTTAAGCCCACATGCATAATACTATGCAAGATTTTAATTCAGCACGGAACAATGATAAGACCGACTTCTTAGACTGCATTAAAGTAAATGTCTATATTATGTCAATCACCATTGGCTGTTGATATTTTAAAGTTTAAGCAATACCTTGTGACATAATGTTAAAACTATTTCTTAAACGAATGTGATCATCAAAGTGTCGACACTGTTGTTGGCGTCCAAGGGGTGATCAATACATTGTGATATAGATCTATACGCTCGACAGGTAGATTGTTACGCTGAAATAGTGAAATCAAATGAAATAACGGATGTGATGAATGTTTTGTTTGTTAGATGCGTTCACAGATGCATGTGTGAAGAGCTTGTCTTTTGGAGTGATAAAGGCTTTCACTTGAGACTAGGTTTACTTGGATCAGGATGAAGACTGTTTGCATTTGCTGGGATAAGCTAATTGTTTTCACAATGTTGCCTTGTTCTCTCAGCCATAATATGTTTTAAGGCTTGACTTGACTTACAATAAAATATCACATTCTTTGAGCCTCTGTTGAGAAAAAATGTTTGGCTGACTAAACAAAGATGTTGGAATACTTTAAAAGTTCCAAATAAAAGATACAATTTTCACCTTGAAGTTATTTGTTTTTATTTTAAACACCAAAGAAAGGTTTATTTATAAATGATGGTTTGTTAGTTTATACATGCCTATAATCCAGTAGCGGTGCATTTCCCTAGATTCTCATTGCCCTCGTTTCCCGTGTGTTAAAAACATCCAAGTAAAATAAGTTATGGTGGAACCAGCTTACGGCTGAAGGAAACTTCAATGATTTATTGTAGAGGCCCACCATTGATTAAGAGGGGGGGGCACAATAATTGAATTTTTTTTTTTAAATCAGCTTTGTCAGAAATTTTCTGACGTATAATTACACATTTGCACCTCAATTGTGTCAATAATAACTCATAAAATAGGACAAGTTTTGTGGAATTGAAACATACTCCATATGTGAATTTAAAAAAATCTTTGAAAACAAGCTATAACATTTTGCTGCAGTGTTTAATGAAGAAAAAAAACTTGTTTTTTTTTCTTAATAAATAAATTACAAATTATTGAGGTGATATTACTTTATCAGACATGAGGTAAATTCAATTTATCAAACAACAAAATATTTGTATAGAAATGAAAGTGTATGATACGACATAAAAACAAGACACTTATCCAGATCCCAATGTGGCTCTTTGAAAAAGTAGATGCTGGTCTTTTTCACTTATCTGCTCCTGCCTGGGGCTTCCTAGATATTTTCTTACATAACAAATATAAGATAAAAATGGCTGTTCACTCAAAAAATGGTTGCTGAGCTTCAGTTCCAAAAGTAAAAAAACTCTGCAACAATTTACTTCCAAACAAGTATATTATTGAAAATTATTGTTATGGGAATGAAATTTCTTTGCATCCTTATTGCAAGAAAAAATATAACAAATGTTTCTAAGACAGAAATTCTCAGCAATAACATGAATAACTAAGCTAAAAGACACACTCAAATTTATCAAGCATATAAACTTCAGAATTATGTTAAAAAAATGTAACTAAATACTGCTAATGTGAAAATGTGCAACCAAAAGTCTGTCCCTGCTTTATTAATGTGAAATCTGTTTGTGTCATAATAACACCCTGTTTTATTATTTAGATTTGTTTTGTGCGTTTACCTGGCAAAAGCCTAGACTGAAATGCGTGTATAATTATATAATTGCTAAATCCAAAGGAATTTAACAACCCGACTTAAACACTGATGCAGTGTCAACAATTAAGAGGGTATAGAGGGAGAGACTGCCAGACATTGTGAAACCGCATACAAAATTATCTTCAGGGATGTCAGATTACTGAACATATCACAGCTTTTTGATGAGAGCGTAACGTCTACTGAACATTTCACAGCTTTTGGCTGAGGGCATAACATCTATTGAAAGTCAAAAGGTGAAATGCAGAATAAAAGACAAGTTTTAAAAGTGTATGCAAATGTTAATAAAGCTTCACGATGCGTTATTCTTCCTCTCTTCTTGCTCCAGTAATGTTTGTAACTGTGCTGATCTTTTCTTGTCAATCAGTTCCATCTCTCTCACCAACTGAAACAAATATTCCACGTCAACACGAAAGATGTATATATATATATGTACATAAAAAATCATTTTCTCTGACTTGTTTGTACTTTGAGGTTGATGAAACAAATTTGTATTCCACATTTTCTCAAATAGCGGTTCTCAACCTGTGGGTCACGACCCCATTGGGGTTCGAACGACTCTTACACAGGGGTAGGGGTCGCCTAAAACCATCGGAAAACACTATTTATAAAGTAGCAATGAAAATAATTTTATAGTGTGGGGGTCACCACTAGGGGTCGAAATCCGGGATCCCGACTCTCAAAAATACCGGACTATAAAGGATGCTAGAAAAGAACGGGATTTGATTTATGAAAACTGGGATTTTTTAAATTACTCGGATTTCATTAAAAAAATATATTTATGGCTTTTCTCAGTTTCCAAGTCGTAGTTAAAGCGAGACATATAAAAAATTTATGTGATGTGCAAGTACGAAGCCCTCACACCAAGTGTCTCTTGTTCAAAGAGAGCCGACCGACAGGCTAGATCTGTGTACTGTTCAAGAATGTCAAGAATCATGGCGCTGTGATCAGTTTTGTTTTTACATCACGCCTGTGTAGTGTGCAAGTGGAGATATGAGTCGTGACGTGAATGTGGTCCTACAGGATTGGTAAGTGAATAATTTCATATTACTGACAAAAAAGTAATTGGTATAGTAGAATGAAGACCAAACGTTGACTTACATTAACAGTTTGTTTGTAACATGAATTGTATGGAAATAATAACACGTTGTACTAGAATCACTGGGTCAACTTTGTATAACAGAAATGTTTGATTGCTTGATTTCCTTTAATTATATAAAAGTATCTACACATTTAAAACTATGAGCTACTCCGTATTATGATAATCAAACCCCCTAAGTTTAAGACACATAAAAATTATGTTACTTCTATTTTGTGACAACAATATTCATAATTCACCTCATAATTGATTTTGGAGCTATTTTGTCCCAGGCTGTCTGTACCGTACCTAGCCAAACATTTACATGACTGAATGTCCCAGTTTTTCTGTACCATACTTAGTCAAACAATTACACGAAAATTATTTTTATTTTTTTTTATAACGTTGTACACGTCAAACCAATTTGATTCAATAAATACATTTTTGTTAATGATTTAATTTCCCTTCAGGTTGATTGAAAGAAATGGGGGACCCTAAAAAAAATAACCTAAATTTGAAAAGCATATGAAAATATCGGAAACTAAGACATCAGTTTGGTATTATTTCTTGAAAGCTACAGACACCTCATAATTGCTAAATGCATTACATGAAACAAAATACTCAAAACATGGGGAGGCACAACTTCAGACTTTCACACTCATTTAAAGTCTGCACATTCAAATGTCATGAAAGATATTACCATTTCTGGTACCGGTACTCCAAGAGCATAGATTTCTAGGCATCTTGTTCTAAAATTTCCGCCGACACAGAAGATAAAACACCAAAAAATAAAGAAAATTAACAGACTATTTTTCAAGTTCAACCAGCTTAGCAGAAACAGTTTCTCTTATAGCAGCTTCAGTTTTTTCACAACTTCTAATGATCAAAGATGACTCATGAAGCAATTAGGCTACGATTTGCCTACATCTTCTAATTCAATTAAAAACCTGTTGGTAACGCACAGTGATACAATTAAAACGACTTTGATTTACTAAACTGCATAAACTGAAAGAAGAAAGAGTTAAGCTGTCTCTGACACTGGATGAATGGACGAGTTGGGGAGATCATCGTTTTATGAACGTAAACATTCATAGTCCTATGTTAACCAATGAGTTTGTCAATCTTGGCCCAGTAAGAGGGATTGGCAACATGCTGGCCAGAACATATTTACATTTGTTGGAAAACAGGCTATCCGCTTTTTGAATTGTCATTGAAAGATGATATAATCTGCATAACTACAAACGGTGCCAGTGGGATGACCGGTGCCAGTGGGATGACCGGTGCCAGTGTGATGACCGTATTAGGATGTGAAGCAGCGCTTTACCATTAACAGCGTTTTGCTCACGGTGCACAGCTGGAAAATCTTAGACGTCCTTGATAACAAAAAAAACAAACTCTTCAACCTCAAGAACATCACCCTGAAGAAGACAACGATTCTGATGATTTTGACTGTGATGATGATAATGACAACTTTGGTTTTCATGTTACAGTTGAAATCAATCGAAATTGTGTATTTATTGTCAAAGATTTAATTGGGAAAGCGCCAAAAATTGCAAAAATTTTCAGAAAGTCGCCTACCAAAAATACAATTCTTCAGAATTATGTTAAAGAAGAAATTGGTCGTGAGCTTAGTTTGATTTTAGATTGCAGCACAAGGTGAAGTAGTTTACCATACATGTTAGATAGGATAGTGAGACTAAAAAATCCTATTAAGAAAGCGCTCATAGATTTAAAAATCGATCTTGACATATCTCAAGTCGAATTTGAAAGGCTGTTTAATCTAAGCAAAATATTTGAAATTCTGAAAGCAACTGTGGAAGAACTTTGCAAAAGTAAGGCCAACTTAATGACATCTAATGCGGCTTTGATGTTTATGTTTAAAAAATTAGATGCCATGCATCATGAAATAGTTGCATGTGAACATGTTGCCTCTCTGAAGCATCGGATTAAAGAATGCAGATTGTTGGTTGCTTCAACATTGAAGAAGTACTTGAACAACCCTAAGACGCACTTTGATTTGTCAAATGACTAATTGGACGTTTTTCTAAGGCCAGATTTCGACCAGATGCGAAAAAATATAGTGGATATTCAAAAGCTTGGCCAAACAGCAGATTCTTCATTGGAAATATCTATGGACAATGAGAGTGAACATCTTGGATCCGAGCATTACGCACCTGAAGACAACTGCTGCTTAAGAGACAATTTTTAATTGAAATACAAAAGAAACTTCAGGCTCAGGATAATACTTCCAGACCAACGGATGGAGACATTGATACATGGGTAAAAATAGAAATAGCTTTATTTGAGAATGGTGGTTCAAGAGGAAAATATATAGAAATTGCATATGATAGCCTAAGGTCTATTTCTCCGACCAGTGTGGAGTCTGAGCGGGTGTTCTTATCATGAGGTTATTTTTGTAACCATTTGCGGTCAATATCAAGCAACCAAACATTAGACACATTGTCATTCTTATGATCTCATTATTAAAATTTGACCAAAGATTAAAACAACACAAATTATTTTAATATTTGATTAATAAAGCTATTGAATGTTTTTATTTCATTGATAAATCGTCACATCTTATCTCGACTAAAAATTCACTATATATTGAAAATATAAAAAATATCGGGATTCCGGTGTTCGTAAACATCAATATCGAAAATACAGATTTTGGTAAAAGGGACCGGTATTGCCACCCCTAGTCACCACAACACGAGGAACTATATTAAACGGTCACGACATTAGGAAGGTTGAGAACCACTGTTCTAAAACCAGGTTTAAAAATTGACTTTTGTAATAAAAAAAAAGTTATCCAACAAATGCACACAAAAAAACAACTGTAAGCTGAATGAATTAGAAAATTTAGTTAATTTGGAAAAAGTGAGACTTTTCTACTTATTACGTAATGTGTACCAACATTTAATTCAGTTATTAAAAAAAAAAGAATATGCCATATCTCCACTTCACTTATGTAATTGGTGTATTTTTGTCTACTCACCTGTGATATCTCAGTGGCAATAATTGTTCTGTACTTGTCTCCTTTACCTATGGCTTCCATCTCTTTCAGGAAGCTTTGTCTGTCCTCTATTTCACTTTGTACTGAAGATTAAGTCAATGATATTGATTTTATTGAAAGTTGACATTTTGGCCATGGCCACGCTAGGCCAGCAAAACTGTCCATTTAAAAAAAATTGATAACTTCAAGCTTGGCATGTGAAGTAAACTCAGTATAAAAAAGACTAGAGTGAAATCACAAAATCCCATTTTCTAAGATAGAAAAATGAGACAGTCTCATGTGGGTCTGATGGGTCTGATGAATCTGATTCCCAACTCCGCGTTCCTGTTTACAACTGCTGGGCACGTTAAAGTAGTGAAATAAATAAATAAATAATTTAACGATTATTGTAGGCAGTGAAAAAAAAAATTTAATGACTTTTAGATAAACTACAGGTAGTAAAATAAATACATTTTTGAATAAAATATTTGAAATGCAACAGCTAGTAACAGTTATTACAACAGGGAAAGCAAAAGCTTGAAAATATGGTGTCGTTAAGATACACATCTTTCGTGTTGTAAAAAAAAAGGGGGCAATACTCTTAAAATGTCTTTAGAGTGAGAGGCTTGCTGCCCCTTACCTCCTGTGCCAATGATGCAAACAATGACAATGAAGGAAGACACAGCATTTAACAATACTAGGGCAACATCTCTTCTGTCATGCTATCAATAAACAAACACAACACCATATCATGAGTTTTATGAAGAACTGAAAAATATACGGTAATTTTTGTTGTTGTTTTAAGACTGAAGATTGATTAAGTATCAAGTTAATTAAGAAAATAATAAGGATTTGCCAATGTTCCCAATGGTATATTTATATTTTTTGATAGCTGCCTTTCATATATTTTTAGATCAAGCAACTGTACAGATGAATAAATGACAATGTACTGTGCCGTGGTCTAAATCCTAGAACTCATGAAACAATGCTTGCTGTTACATGGTATAAGTCCTAGCTACCTTGATAAAGTGCTTACTGTAACGTGGTCTTAATAATCCTAACATTCACGATATAGTGTTTACTGTTATCTGGTCTAAATCCTAGCACTAATGATGTGTCTCCTCTCCAAGATTTGTTTAAATAAAGAGGATGCTTGTAAAATTAAAGAGACAGTAAGTCATATTGACTGCGGCTGAAAAGTTTGACAGGAACTGAGGCTTAGAGCAATTAATTATATCTGACATGCACAAGGGCTCTAACTCTAAGTTAATTTACCAGAACCAGAGAAGAAAATAAAATCTATTTTAAATCCAATCATTGCTGAGTACCTTTTGAATGGGAAAATCAGGGAATGTTATGGATTTATTGATTTCTCTCCCCTCGTTTAGGTCTATTAAGAGCATTGAGGCTGAGCCATATGCCACTACAGCAGTTCTCACAATTGAAGTGGTTCTCAGAACTTGAGTTTCACAAAATTAATTACAAATTTATTTAATAGCTAACAGCTAAAGTTTTTCCAAGTTAATTAATAAACTTTTTGTGTGTGCAAAATTTGTATATTAATTAACGTAGAAGATAAAAAGCTAAAAAGTCTTGTACGTTTATGTGCATTTTTCACCAGCTGCACCATGTATGTAGATGAAAATGTAACATGTCCACTTTCCATTCATCATAAATATTTAAGACTCTTTTCCCTATAAAAGACTGCTAGATAGCTTCTTACACATTTTAAAGTTTTTTATATAAATATTTAAGAGTCCATTAAAAAAATCATGAGTGAGAGTTTAAGTAGATCTGATGTGTTTATAGTATAATATAGACAATAATATGTTGGGTTAGTTGATGTCTTTAAACTATTTGAGATCCACTAGAAGGATATATTTTCACCTTCCCAGTAAATATGATTTAATCTAATTGTGGTCATAAAAAGGGGCTTACCCAAGAGTTGGCTCTAATACATTTGTTGACAAAGTGTCATATGGTATATTTAACCACATGACACAGGAATCTGCCAGATTGGGAGAGGTTAATTCAGCTAAAAAAAATTGAGACTTGGCCTCAAGTAATGCTAATGGACTGACCCAATTGTTTAAGGCCCCAAATTGTTTACCTGAGCTCAATAAGAAGATAATTAGACCCTGACACTCTAATAGGATGAAGCAGGGGAATTTGATAATGTCCTAAACTTGTTGTACAAAGACAAAGTTCAGTGTCAACTTTGTGCCATTATAAATTTCCATAAATTACCAATCATTTGAAACACAGTGGGAAGTGTCAGTAAAATCTGTTTAATTTAGAGCTGTGGTAAAATTCTTTTGAGCATTATAATTGACTCTTTAATTTTAAACATTAGAAGAATCTTTTTCTTTTTTTTTTTTAATTTTGTTAAGTCAAGTGCAAAATTATTTCAGGACATAAATATTTTTAAAATCATTTTTAATACAGACAACACATATCAAGACCATGGCTTGAAATAATTACATATTCATTAAGCCAACAAGAGAAAATGTAATACATTATAGAAAAAAAAGTGCCTTATATTTTAATGCCAGTCTGGGTTCATAAATGTCATCTTTAAAAACAATAATTCTTCCAAAGTTCATCATCTCAACCTTTTATGTGTCATTGACAAATAATCCCATCTCGGCAATTTATATAAATAGGATCAGCAATTTAAAGCGATTTCAAACATCCCTCAACAAGAAGGATATTCATGGTTTAAACTTTGTGAGAAACCTCTGATCTGTGATAAAACAAAAGATATGCTGCTGCCAAATCCCATTGGCTGAAATGAGAGTGGAATATATTTAAATTACTCACATTCGTCAAATCTATCACGTGGGGCTGGAGACTCAATTTCTATAGGAGGGTGTTTAGCAGAAACTTTGGGCTTGTCCTCTCCATATGCCATGATGTTTGCAAGTCTCTCTTTCTCTCTTATTGACCTCATTGCTGGATTCACAAGAAAATAATATGCGAGAATTTTTTATATTTTTTTATGTTCTTAATATGCTGACTGTTACTTTAAGAAAAAATAAATTTCAACGTTCACATTGGCTATTGATTGAAATTAAATTTGTTTTAATTAAGAAAACAATAAATAAATTAATTATTTGTCATTTTAATTATTGAACCAGTTATCATTTTAAAATTAAATGAATTTAATTAATAAAATAAATGACCATATTTTAGGGTTAATTGAAGCTGATTAGATAGAGAACTGACCTCCTCTAGCTGGTACATATTCAGGCTTTTCAAATGCCCCCATGGCCTGCATGGTACTTTTTGTTCTAACACCACCAGTGTACACTCTGATGGATGAAAAAATTAAGGCTCACTTTAACAATATTTTTAAATATCACTTTTACCCTGTTGAGAACGAGACTTAAACTCATGCTGTATCGAAAGAGATAGAGAAAGTGAGTCAGAGAGAGAGAGAGAGAAGGAGAGAATTAGAGAGAGAAATATTATATTAAAATTTAAAATGTTGAAAACATATGAACAAAATGAGTCTGTAATAGGACATTAATGCACTTTCTGACTTCTTCTTATTTGTTGTACTCACTTGGGATTGAGCACTTTAGGTAGTGGGGCTTTATTTTTTAATTTTCTATTTTCTGTTTTTGATGATGTTGGTGCAACCTGCGTTGGAAGATAGCCTCCCCCTGGTTCAAGCATTCATCAAATAAAGAACAATTGTTAGTATAAATAAATATGAAGTCCCTGAGGTGTCTGTCTGTCAGCCTGAGAGATGTCTGGGTCGTTAGTAGGCCCTATATATGTGTATATATATATAAAATATAACGATATATATTTACATATATATATATATTAAGTCCATGAGGTGTCTGTCAGCATGAAAGATGTCCATATAATGGAAAAATTTGCCACAGGATAGATGATTTGCATCCCCAATTCTTTTCTTACCTAAGTTAAAATAATTTAATTTGTCCTGATGGCACAATGATATAATGTTTTATTTTTTGAAAATCATTTTTAGAAATGTCCATTCAAATGTTAGGATATTTTTAAAATGTTGCGTACAGTATTATTAAATGTGTCAGTAACAGGCGTTACAGATTTATTTCAACTAATTTTCTTTCACAATATTTATCTCTACTGTTCACCCACAGTTTTCATCTCCGCTATTTACACACAAATTAGCTGTAGCACAAGTAAAAATCATTCCCTTCAATTTTGCTACATCAGCACAAAGGATCAATAATAGGCCTCTCTAACTAACATTTGAATCATGGCATTAAATTATCTCAGAATCTCCATTTCCATTGACTACCATGACAGTCATTAGTGATACGTTAATCAAAGGTTAGACTTTGCCCAGCCCAATCCTGTTATCTTGTCCAGAGTGACTGGCCGTGAAGACGAAATACGCAACCGTTGTGTGTGCTAGTTATGTTTAAAGTACACGCGGGCCAGCCACATTATACACCATTTAAATTTTAACTAAAACAAATAATAGAATTGGATTAAAAACATGAAAAAAGTTATACTTTAGATATTCAAGACTTTGGAAGATTTCACTACATAATAAAAGCCACTGAGTTGAATGAGCCATGAATTTATTACTAGAGAAGCGCAATCACCGGAGCAGTCTTTAAAGATGATCATACAGAAAAATGTTGGAAAAACAAAATGATTCAATAACATTAATTTAGCACAAATCGTATTCGTTTTCCTAAAAGCCATGCCATGTGCTCAACAGCTAAATACATTAATAATCCCTGCAAGTATTATTTTTGATTAAATGTTCCTGTAATGAAAATAGTTCAGTGTGAATGATTTCGTCCACTGGCATCTAATGTGATAACAGCATCACCCATATTTAAAAATAGAGGATGAGATGGAAAAGATGGAATTATAAAAAAAAAGTATTGCTGCTTTGTTTTTTACAAACAGAATTATCTATACCAAAGAGCTCTTCTTTTGCAACACTATACTCAGACAAACAATGCCACTACCCCCGCTATCAAGCCCCCACAATTTAGTTCTGACATTCCTACTTCTAGTGTACCATAATGCATTCAACATTAGTTTCTTTAAAAGACAGTTACACAATTATACTGTATAGTTGAAAAAAAAAAGTTCAATATAATTAATTTTTAATAAGCATTAAAAGTAGTCATATATATAGATTTACATTAGGAATATTAGCTGTATTGTTTTTAGGACTTCTTTTTATGGGGCAATTTTTTATTGCCTAACTGTGTGATTTAAAGATATTTAAAAGACGGATTTTGACAATGTTTTAGTAGCATCATTTTTTTTTGCCTGCTCTTTGATTTATTTTTATTTCTTCAAACTGGTGCCTGTTCAGTTTTTAAACTATTTATTGGCAACAGTTAAATATTGCCAAGTTTGGAGAAACTATTATGTTTCATTTAAGCTGGAAGTTTGTGCTTACTTCTAGATCATTACTAATTTAAATGGTATAGAAATGTTTAAGTGCAGATTACAATTGTTGAAATCAAAGGTGGTCTATAGTGAGTGGGCAAAAGCTTTTTTTGTATTTAACCACAAGCCACCAAGCTCCATTTCCTATAATAATTCAAATCTCTTCACAATAGACTGCTAATTGGAGTAAGCATATGTATTTTAGTCATTAGTATAACAACAATTTATTATAGTAAGAAAGGCATTTTTTACAAATGACTTTTAATGAGTAGCTTGACAATCTCCCACTGCTTTATCAAACTTTATTTTAAAACTTTCACACAAAGCACATTGTAATTTAGACCAAGATTCAAATCTATAATTTGGGAAGGATTCTTGGTCGTTAGTGGGTATTTGAATTGCCAGCCTGTGAAATCTAAACCTGTAAACACCCCCCCCCCCCACGTGAACCAAACATTTTTAAGTAAAAATAATAACCGTTTGTAATTTTCATTCCTTTTTCATTTAATTATCAAATCTATAATTTGGGAAGGATTCTTGGTCGTTAGTGGGTATTTGAATTGCCAGCCTGTGAAATCTAAACCTGTAAACACCCCCCCCCCCACGTGAACCAAACATTTTTAAGTAGAAATTATTATCGTTTGTAATTTTCATTCCTTTTTCATTTAATTATAACTTATAACTGTTTTGAATATTTGCAAACTTTGCTCTTTTCAAAATAACTGGATGTGTCTGAAATCCCAAGTATTAAGTATTAATGTTAAGATTAATTTTGATAAAATTTAATTGTAGCGCAAGAAGCTTCCATTATTACTTGTATAACAATGGGAAATATCTTCAATTTATTAAATATAATTTAATACATTAATACATTTGTATGAAGAAAAATTAAAGTGAAATTAGTTTTTGTTACTTCAGTATAAAGACCACTCATTAAGCTTATAAAATTTAAAATGCAAATATTAGTTCACCCACAAATTGTTTTTATTATTGATGTAAATTTTTAAAATAATAATTAAATCAGAAAATTAAATAAATTTAGAATATTTCATATGTTGGCATTTTTTTATAGATTGATTCAACATGACCCTGATGTATATTACCACATTTTTCATGTATTACACCATGACCCCCAAACATTTTTTAATCAAAGCTTGGCAAATAAAAGGATTATAAATGAATAATATAGGACTAATTCAAAACTGCTCAAACAGAATCCTACCTTTCAAAGTCTGTTGTAAGTGTCTTTGTTGAAAGTTTGTAAGTTTTGACTCCTTCATCATTTCTAAAAAAAAAAAATTCATTAAATTCAAATTAATTGTAACAATGAATTTCTCATATAAATTAAGGTATTGAACTAGATAAACATTTTTAAAAAAAACTTTTTACATGCCTCAATTTCACTGGTAGGTAATATTTTTGGTGACTTTGCAGGGTTCAAGTGCATCCTTGGTCATGCTCATGGGTTGTGTATTATTTTTATGGGGAGAGCTGGGTTTATCCTTTCTCTGCACCTCAATAAATTATAGGTGGATTTATGCAATCGTCTGATGTCTTCTGTCCACTTCTACCAGGGGAGGCATCAGATGGTAGGAGCATTTGGACATCTGTAGCAAGGTGTGAGAGGCCTGCTGAAGATTTATGTTGTTGACTTTGAGGATGTCCTTAACAAAGTCCATCCACTGCTATCATGGTCTTTCTATAATCCTGAAGGGTGCCCAAGAGGAATAAGCTGAGTCAATCACAAGCTGGTGGACTGGAGTTCAATCCCCAGCAAAAGCCTAGACAAGCTAAAAGAACACCAGCAGCATCCCGGGTGGATGGGCCTCATTAATCTTGGATGCCAACTCATCTAACAGAAGGCAAACTCTGAACTCAAATCCAGAGATGGAGTCCCGTAGGCAGTATGATATTGACAATGAAATTTTCAACAGCTCCTGGGATGTAGAATCGTAAAAGCACAGTGAGACACAAGCAACACTGCTGGTCATCTACTGCAACCTGGTCTATTTTCAGTCATCTTAATTAAATCTTGCCATTGCAACAAATAGGTAAGGATGAGAGAGTGAGACTGATGAACTCTCCCTAAGTTTAAATAAAATACAGCTCAAGTCAAGGCTACTACTCAAGTCAAAGCGTTGGTCATCTTTGAATGAGAAGGATGACCAATATAATATAATCCTGAAACTGCTGTTGTGTAGATTTGCAATGTAGGTTGCTTTTACGGCATTCTGACCAATATGTTAAACCAATTAATTTGAATTTGGTGATTTACTGGCTGATTTGTGTGGCACAAACCTTATGTCTTAAATATTGTTTAAATTATAAATATTTAAAGTTGCTAATGTGAAAGTTAGGCCATTGAGTTGAGTTAGTCTGTCTATTACCATGGAGTTAGGTACTTCAGCTCAAATTTTCAATAACATCTGATATAAATAAAAAATAGTATTCAATTGAAAAAACATGGCTTTCAGCTTTCCAATAACAGCAAGCTAATCTTTTTATCATTGATAGAAGAAATGATTTTTTTTTTTTTATAATGATAGTCCCCTACCCCTCCTTATTTAGCTTTGAAATTAATTTTGAAAACGTGCAGCTTTAGTTAAAATAAACTGTTAGTTGAGACCTCTTATTTGCTTAAATGCAAGCTCAGAACTGAAAATATGGCACTTTACTTAGGCCTGTGACAACTATGGCCTCACTATCAATACAAAAAAACAGAAATCTTACACCAGTCAGCTCCCGGAAAGTTTATAATGAACCCAACAATTCAGTGAGGGGACAGAATGTATAAGCAGAGGAAAAATTCAATTATTTGGGCAGCAACCTCTTCCAGTAAGTAACAATATATAATGAGATCAACAACAGAATTTCAAAGGCAAATGTTGCATTTGGAAGACTCTCAAAGAGCGTCTGGGAGTGAAGGAGTCTTAATCTTGTCCCTAAGCTGAAAGGATAATCACATTAACAACTCTCCTATATGTGATAGAGACATGGAAAGTGTACAGCAGAAATGTTTACACAAACTTGTTGGCATGAGGTGGCCCCTGATAAAGAAGTCCTAAAACAGGTTGACTTTATCAGGATCCACACGTTCATACAAAAAGTATAAGCCAGATGGGCAGGACATGTTGCAAGAATGCCAGACAGCAGACTTCCTGAACAACTAATATTTGGGGAACTTTCCAGATAGAAACAATCAGCTGGGTGGAAGAAAAAACACTTTTAAAATTATCTAAAAGCTTCATTCAAAACCTAAATTCATAGGAAATGCTGTGGATTTACAAGCTGGTTAGGCAGACTCACTGTTGGAGTACAATCCTCAGAGAGTAAATGCAACAATGATGCAAAAAGAAGATGCACAGCAAGGAAAATCAAAATCGCCTCCAATCCATCTAGGACCCCAAAACATATGTCTTACATGCAGAAAAGCTTTCCGAGCGCAAATAAGACTGGCAAGCCACCTGCATACTCGTCATCAAAATATAGCCTTGGTCCTATTTGTTTGCAAAGGACAAACAGCAGGCTACTCAATTTATGAATTACTCATTTATTTTTAGTGCCCCAGTATTCTACTACTAATTTAATATTATTAAATATTAGGCCAGCTTAAACTGAGTGGTAGCCTAACAGACTGTTAAGCCCTATCTAGCCTATAGCTCCAAGGCCTATTTTATATAATTTTACAAAAAATAGGCCTAGAGTAGGGTGACCAAATCATGAACTGGATAAAACGGGACACACACATGGAGGGTTGGGGGAATACCCTCCAGCTAAAGAGGGGTCCGGGGGTCCTCTACCGGAAACTGTTTATTGAAATATGCTAATTGTAACTTCTTCTTCTTCTATATCTTAAGGGCCCACAATCAATTTATTGATCATTTTGGCTCCTATGCATGTAGATGGGATTTGCAATGTTTCTGTTACTGGTGTTAACTATTTTGAGACTTAAAAAATCTTTTAAAATTTACCTTCACTTTTGTAATTTAATTTAAACTCCAAGGCATATCATAAACGAAAACAAAGAACAGTAAATACTTATTGATTTATACACATTTTACAACATAATAAGATCTATTGAGCTATGGCAGAGACACTGCCATTTACGCAGCGTCAGCAGAGTGGTGGAGGGGGAACAGTGCAGCCATCACGCTAGCCCACATCACTACTGGCATTAGCTACACAGCTAGCCAAAATATTACTTGAAGTTATATTATAAATTGGGAAGTTTTAGTGATTTAAAATGTGTTAGGTTTTAAAAACGGGACATTTAGGCGTCCCGAGAGACTTTTTTGGGACACTGGGTACGATCATGAAAAAATGAGACAATCCCGTTTGTACGGGACGTTTGGTCACCTAGCCTAGAGGCATATACTTTAACTTTACTATAACTAATAATTAATACTAATGAGTCTAATCTCTAATATTGTTATTATTATTACTAAAATTAGTAAACAAAGCCAAATATTAATTAGGCGAAATTTCTTTTAAGTAAATTGGTAATGCTATTAATAATATTATGGAGAAAAACTAATCTTCATTCATACTATTGAAATAATAAAAATTTAATTTTTAGGTAATTTTTATTTTGATGGAATATTTTTTTCATTAAACAAACCTGATAGTAAAGTTTGAGTTTGTTTACTATACACCACCTTTGGTGCATTCCAAAACCCTCCTTGGCCCGACATTTTGACGCTTTCTCCGCTGCTAAGGCGTCACTTCCTGAGAGTTTTAAGCTGCTTTTCCTAACATCTGTTTCGCATTATTTTAAAAAATCAAGAGCATCTTTTTCGTGATATATTTTTTTTTTAAATATGCAAAATGTACGATAATGTGCTGCCAAAGTAGTATTACCATTTCATTTAGCATTCCAACAACCTGTTGTTCTAAATTATATAGACATTTTTCAAAATAGTTATTTATTATTAAATTTTTGGGGGCCTTCCTCTTGCCCTCGACTTATAAAATCGCTCTAAAAATGATTTACGTAATTTTCAAAATATTGTTTGCGGGCCGTACCGGGGGAGAACCTAAAACAAAACGTTGGGGGGGGGGGGGG